ATATTGGGGAGAATAATTTCTTTTAACATTTATGTTTCTCAACAGATAGAGCTATGGTACAGTCCAAATGTTTGTTTTATGATAATGCACAGACAATGTAAACACCTGAAAGCTTGTAAAAACACATTCTACATTTGCTGTTGCTTAGGTAAAATATCTGTTCCTCAGAGACCCTATATTTGCTGTTTAACAAGATTAAACAGTAATGCAGAGGTGTCTCAATACTTAGGCAAATATAACTGAACTATACTTAATTTTTATATGTTAAGAAACTGAGATGACCTTCGTTAGGGGAAGAAAAAAAAAAAAAAGTTGTTATATTCCATTCTGTGCTATTTCAGGCGTTAATTTTTCCGAGGCAGAAAGCTATGGCCACCGAAGTGATAACATCTTTCACAATTTCACCGAGTTCAGTGAGAAATACATGAGAAACGAGATGTTCTGGTGTGTCGTTAGTTCTGTAGCGAGTCTCTGTGTCTGCTTTAAATGAGAGTTGGGCTCTGACAGAAGCCAGGGATGAGGAGCGAGGACGGGAGGCAGTGCTGGAGCAAAGCCCCACCCGCGGTATCCAATTCTCTCTCTCTTTCGCAGGTGATGAAACTCGGGAACCCCGAGATCGCCCGGCGGCTGCTCAGTAACGGGGCGAACCCCAACCTGAAAGACAGTACCGGCTTCGCTGTCATCCACGATGTAGCCAGGGAGGGGTTTCTGGACACTTTGCAGACTCTGCTGGAGTTCAAAGCCGATGTTAACATTGAGGACAACGACGGCAACCTGCCCCTGCACCTGGCGGCGCAGGAGGGGCACGTGCGGGTGGTGGAGCTGCTGCTGGCGCTGCCCGGCTGCAAGGTGGGCCACCAGAACAAGCGCGGGGCCACCGCCTACGACCTGGCCAAGCTCTACAGGAGGGCAGCCGTGGTGGAACTGCTGGAGGCCAGCAGCGCCTTCCCCCCCAGCATGGACTGAACCCTGCCAGGACGGGGTCTCCTTTGGACGTGAGGGTGTGCAGACTTCTTGGGTTGTTTCCCATCCTTTTTAATAACGTTTTTTTGCCACAGTACTTTTTTTTTTTATTATTATTTTTTTTTCCCCCTGAACAGCTGGTAGTGTAAGTCTCAAGAAATTCCAGAGGTGGGTTTGTAGACAATGGAAACATTTTAAATCCATGCTCCGAGCAGTTTCCTATACCTTTCACTTTACACAGTACTCCCAGGCTCATCTGTGTGTATGTTGGTTGCTCATATCTAGGTTTCCAGTATCAACTTTTACGATTTATTTTAGGTCATCCGTATCAAGCCATTAATACAACAGCTACTATTCACATGCTTCATATTGCTGGACTTTTAAGAAAAGGAAATAGTTTACTGTGATTTCTCCCACCTCTCAATGCACCCCTCCCTTCTCCTCACTCCCCCCACCCCTCTTGGTCAGGCTCGAGAGTCTGAGGTCCTGTTTTAGATAAAAACATCCTTTTAATAAGGGGTCACCTGCAGCCCCTGCACAGGCAGAGCTGGAAGTCAAAGGCTGCGTGGCCTGAGGACAGTGGATGGCGCTTAGATGCTTTAGGCAGTAACTGTATTTTGTCACTAACAAGAGCTTGTAGAACTAGGTCACTTACTTTCTAAATGTAGATGACACTTTTCCTCTTTGTATATTTAAACTTTCACCAATCTGGTTTTGAATTTAGTTACCAGAAACAGTATAAGTGGTGTTTCTTCGATTGCCAGAGGTTTTAAACAGCTCAGTTTGGTAGTTCGTGTTTACTGTGCACTGCAGAAGTCGTTTTTTTTTTTTAGTTTCAAAACAAGCAGCAGAAAACCATTGTCAAAGAGGACATGAAAGCTGCAATACAAGACTTCTGGTCGCTTCATCTGCTGATTGCAGTTTAGATGTTCTCTAAGTAATATTTGCTTTCCACCAACTATTTTTTTTTGTCTGGAAAGAAACTATTTTAATGACAGCATCTCACAAAACAAGAATATTGGAATAGAGTGACATTTAGGGAGCAGCACTTTAGATATTTGTGAAGTTAAGTTATTTCTTGCACCTAAAACACAATTTAACCATTGGAAATTTTCTATTGCAACAGAGAGTTGAGAGTATTCACCAGACTGAAACTCATTTGCCTTTCCAGCCCCAACAGGAGCTAACGATGCTCAGCACCATGTCAGGAAGGGTCTATTATTAAACTTTTAACATTTGTACAGGATCTACTTATTTGGCAGATGGGCAGTTTAAAGTGCTTCATTCTGAATAGTCTAAATTTCAGTCGTGCAAAGTAGAAGGTTTTAAATCAATGCAAAATGAGTACTACTTGGATACTACATTAAATAACACTTAAAAGAGGAGAGGGTTTAGTTTAGTTTTTAACTTTTTTTTTTAATTAGCCCCACAAAATCAGTTACTACATTTTCAAGTAAAAAAATTGCTGAAACTGTCTGTCACATTTACTATAAGCTCTGTCACACTGCTGTGTTCTGATTAAAAACCTCTGTGAAATATGAAAAATTGTGCTATGATCATTAATCGGAGCAGCACAGCACATAGGAAGCATTTTTGGGGAAATAATCCTAAAATTCCCGGTAGAAAGAGCACTAAACCACCTGAAATATTAAACCGAGCAACATAATCCACAGGTTCCTGAGGTGAAGTGACCCAAATCGCTCTGTGTTGCTCTTCATCTTCCTTTCCTCGTGTCCTGGAGGATGCTCTAAGCCTTTTCCTTCTCCATTCCTCTCACAAAGAGGAATTCCGTGCTACACCAGAAGGTAATATCCAGCTTTCTCACGTTTGTTTTTTTTTTTTTTTCACCCGTGCTACTAAAAAACCTGATTCCAAACCCGTTTGGAGCTTCACCAGCATTTAATTTACGCTAAGGCGAAGTTTAAGCAGTGGCTTAATAGAACAATTTCTCTTCCGAGAAAAATGCCCCGCCTAGTCAGAAATAGCGGCGTTTATTGCGTGCCAGGAGTTCAGGGTTAAAGCCAGGACGAATCACCCCCGGCCATGCCCAAAGCCTCGGCGGCTGAGTCACGGGTGATAGTCTGGTTTAAAGGTGCGTTTTATCTGATTTCACTGCTGCGTTTTCTCTGTGAGCCCCCCAACTTACCGGGAACAAGATGATCAATTGAAAATCCTAATTAGATACTTGGAAAGCAAAAATTGCTGTTATCCCAGGAAGTTAATAGTTACTGCAGAGAGCCTTTGGGAAACCAAAGAAATCGGTCAGCTGGTGGGGTACTGTGGGGTACTTTTGTCAGTGACAAAAGATGCCTGGTTGCTGGGGAATGGCTTTTCTCCAGAAGTATTTATATTTACAAAGCGAGGAGAAAATCATATAAAGCAAGTATCATTAATACAGAATCTTGACACCTAAAACAGATTGTAATATCGCATGTGGTTTCAGAAATTGCTCTGGCGCTTTTCCCCCAGTATTTTGGCAACATCAAAAAGTCCAGTTTCAAAAACTCGCATAATCCTGAAAATGTCGACAAACATATTTACCCAGAGATGCAAAACTGCAGCGTGTGAGATGGAATTAAATAATTTTGAGAGCTTTTATTGAGACATAAACCAACTGCCAAGTAAGTCTCCAGGCAGCAGCAGAGATCGCCCTGCAGCAGCCCAGGAATCGGCAGCAAAGAGTGCAGTATGGAGATGAGAGGTATAAATAGAAACAAATACAGCAAGCACAGAAAAAATGTGAAGAAATAGAACATAAAATGTAGCTATACCAGGATTCACAGTGACCAGGCTGTGTGAGGACACAGCTGTGGGGCAACAGCCCTCTCCCCTATTTCAGTTACACGGATGAGCAAAGCTGTTACACTTGACCTTTGTTTCTAAATTATCTTCGGAACAACGGCGGGGGCTGCTGAGCTCCTTTTGGAAAGGGGCAGATCCTAAAGGGATCCTACAGAGAACGAAGAGAGTTTCATTTGTGGCAGCAGCGCCGTGAGAGGGTGAAATACCCGATCTGTGTGTGCTGGGGAGAGAGGGGCAGAGGTGCAGAGCTAACCCTGGCACTGCCCTGTCCTTAGCCGGGGGAGAGTGAATGAGAAGGTATTTGAAGGTGAATTTTCCTCAGCCTCCAGTGCAACAAGGCACAGCACATTTAAGTACAAAAAAATACTTTATTTCCAGCTTCCAGTGTGGGGAGAGGAATGGAATCAATGGTTTATTCCATGGTGGGGTAAGATATTAGCTCCCTAGGAAATGCCATTGCATTGTTCACATGAAGAGTTAACACAGGAGGAAACTACCACGTTTTATCTTCTAAAAGAAAGAAAAGGGTTTCTTTCACAAATGTACCTGGGAATTGACTGGGCAGCCAGAAGCCGCCAGACATTACTATCTCCTGACTAAAGTGCTGAAATTCCCTGGAAAAAGCGAGGGGAGGAAAAGCTTTTACATTTATGCGTGGGGACTTCTATCCTGTGCATGGAAGAAGGG